TCCTCCTCGTTGTGCTGTAGTCTTCGGGGTCGAGCCTGATCTGACTCGCGAGGGCGGCAGCATCCCGGTCACCCTGACCTTCCAGGAGGCCACAGGCCGTAATGTCATGCTGCTTCCTGTAGGGTCCTCTGATGATGGAGCTCACTCTCAGAATGAAAAGATCAACAGGTTGGTCACAGCTCACACCGTTTCCCTTCTTTTGAAATGTGGAACAAGTAGGAACTATTGATAAAATGGATGAAATATTGCAGTAAAAGAAGAGGATCATGTTTATCATCTCCAGATTATTTTTGTGCTGAACTTAATGACAGGTAAAGTGAGTTTTTTAATTATAAACCGTTGTCATGGCTTTATTTCTCCATTTTCAGATCAAATTACATTCAGGGAGTCAAGCTGCTGGGAGCGTACTTCCATGAGGTCTCTCTGCTGGAGTGATTTGATGGTGTCTCATAATGACAGGTGTAAAATATGCTCATCCTTCATGTCAGACCATAAACTTTGTGGGTTTACCTTTCACAATGAACGGTTTTATACACCCTGCTGATAATAAACATGTCTTTGTTACTTTCTTTGAGTTGTTTTTCTTTTCATTTCATGATGTAACAGGATTTACTTTTGATGCAGTGCATTGCTTACCGTCATAACTGACAACAACAGGGTAAAATGTTGATAAGCTTATTTTAGAAGCTGTCAAATGTGATTGAGGCATCAGTGGTAGCGGCATGACCAAAGGCTGGTACTATTTGGAGATGGAGCAATTTTTGTCAGGAAATATCCAGCTCATACATAATGAGACTTCCATACTGGATCATTTAGGATTAACAACAACCACCTTGGTGCTATTGGCCAATAGGGTGTCCGTGGAAACTGTGCTGCTGTTGGCCAAAGACAAGAGGAAAGAGAAGGCGGAAAGCATGTTAGGAGGCAGCAAGAGAGAGAGAAGAAATGGAGCTGCCAGGCAGGAGGAATAATGTTAGACCTCAGATGAGGTTCATCATACAATGTGACAATAAGGTCCACAAAAAAACAAAAAATAAATCTGCCTATCTATCTGGATTCTTGTTATTAAGCATGTGGTCAGGATCTGATGGTAAAATAGTGTTTTGTGTTCTTCTGGACACAGAGGAGGTGAGCTGTTTGTAATAAAGTAATGAAATAGTTTTTAATGAAGCAGCCCTCCTCTCAATGAATCCTTCCATGTCTAAAAAACTGTGTAAGAAATGATAGAAGTCAAAAGTTACTAAAGAATAAAGGTGCAGGTAAGTATTCTGCAGGAAAAAAATTAAAATAGAGAGTGAAGGAGAAGATGCAGGAAGGAGAGCGTTGTCAACGTTCAGACATATGTTCATTTATATTCTTTAATTCAGTCTGATATATCAGCTATAGATGAACAATAAAAGTAAACTCGCACTGTGGCGAAACAAGGCTCAGTTACTTAAACAAGTAGCACTTGATGTCTGCTTTGAGACATCACAGTAATTCATTATTACTATTATTTTTTTTTAAAAAATGCCTGAAGTCCTGACAATTGTAATAACAAAATGCGCATCTTATAGGAATTTCATGTTTACAGTATAATGTATCCCATAAACAGCCATAGATCAAAGAGCTGAGTCCTTTTAAACTGTCCATGTCTCTTTAATGAAGGCGGGTCAAAACTAAGCGGAAGTGCCAGCTTGACAAATGAGGTGGCGAGTTTTAAGAAATTTGACGTCTTGCAAGATAAACTTACGTGCTTCACAGCTATGTATTAAATGTGCTGTTGTTTCATTGCTATATTTTATTTCATCATTAATGATTTTTTAAAAAAAAGAAATAAATACTTGAACTCAATCGTTTGACACCAAAAAAGCAATTTTGTGAGATCGGAGGATACAGGAAAGAACATGGCAACACAAGCTGACTTCCGGCGCGGGAAAATCGTAAACAACACGGCGGAAGGAGCTTTGATAGTTACTGTATACTTCACAAAAATGTCTTCATGTCATCTGCCATACTCGCAGAGATGTTAATTGGAGTGAGAAGAAGCTAAAGCAGCTAATAGAGGATAAACATGTAAGCTTACGCTGCTACTTTCTTTGAAAAAAGAACAATAACGCCAATGTTATAACAGAAAATCGCCCGACAGCAGTTTGAAAACAGCCCTGTCCACCTCAGCATGGATCGCTACAATGACGTGAAAGTTTTGCTGAAAAACTGGGAGCAGGGGTTTGTCAAAGAGCACAAGAGAAAACCCAACAAGGTGAGTTAACCGTTAACAACAACGAGCTTTGTTAGCATGCTACCTGTTTTAGTATTATTGTTTATGAACGCTGAATGGTACATTTTTCAGGAGGACATTGATCGGGCTCCAGAGGAGAC